AGAACCAGGGATTGAACTCAGACCCTTGTACTTGCCAGAAAAGTGCTTATTCTACTGAGCCATCTCCCTGGTCCCTAAATACTAATTATTAAACTGATTAGTTTTCAGGCATTGATTTTTCTTCGGTAACGTGGATCTGTCATGACTATAAAACTAGAATAAAACCAGGCATAGTGATGCATCCCTGTGATCCCAGCACTCGGGAGGCTAGGGCAGGAGGATTGTTGTGAGTTTGATGTAGCATAGACTACAAAATGAGTTCAAGTCCAGCATAAACTACATAGTGAAACCCTTTCTCAAAACAAAAACAAAAACAAAAACAACCACCCCCCAAAATAAATAAATACCTAGAGGTCAAGTGTAGTAGCGCACACCTATAATCCCAGTACTAGGGAGGCTGAGGCAGGAGAATTTCTGTGAGTTCAAGGCCACCTTCAGCTACATAAGAAAGTTCAAGACCAGCTTGAACTACAGAACATGTCTATAAATAAATGAATAAAATACAATATATAGCTCACAGGACAGTCTGGACCTAAGAAAATGATTTTTTGTATTGGTACCTTTCATTTTTTTGTTTGATAAAAATTAAATTTTAATGTTTATTACTGAATTTGCTAATTTTTAATCATTGTTAATCTCAATGTAATGTGGTAGGTATATAAAATTGAATTTTTTTCCTTTTTGTCTCCTTTCTTGTAACAGACTTTTTGAATTCAGAAAGATGATTGGAAACCGAGAAAGATGCCAGAATCTGGTTTCAAGCGATTATCCAGTATATATTGATAAGGTATTCAAATGAAAAAAAAGATAGCTACAGGACTTTCGGTTGAACATAAATATGTGCCAAGAATACAACAAACACTAGAACATGAAGCTAGTGGATTGTCATGTAATATTTAAAGAATGTTATTTGTACTTTAACCAGCTGTATTAATAATTATTTTCATATATATTTTGTGAGCATATTATTAGCCTGAATACAAAGTACTTAGCCTAGATCCTTTTGAGTTTGGTTTTGTATCTGAAGCCCAAGAGGTATAAACTAAATTATTCAACATTAAAGAAGAATGTAAGTATTAAGGGAGTAAACTACTTGGAGAATTGGCCCAGAAGGAGATATTTCTAAAATAACTATTAAAAAACACAAGGAAAAATGTTATGGGATGTAGTTAATTACCAAGAGAAAGAAATGCCATAAAACTAGAGATGGGAATGTTTATGAAATGGTTTTGCTTTTTAAGCAGCTGGCTATTTTTCTGCCAGATATTTCTAGGTTGCTGCAACTGAATACTTTGAGATATTATTGGAGATATTATTGAATATAGTGGGTGGGCTTCTTACAGCCCTCAATGCCATCAAGCAAATAAATTCTGTGTCTTTTAAGTATTGGATATCTTTAAATTTTATTTTAATAATCTTTTGTGTATTTATTTGGTACAGGGTCTCACTACAGATCTCAGACTTGAAGTGATCCTCTTGTTTCAGCCTCGTCAGTGCTGAGATTATAGGTGTGCACCACCACACCTAGTTTTGGTGGCCAGCCTGACGTACCCAGGGTTCCAGGGCCAGCATAGCATGCGGTACTGGGGATTGAACACAGGTCCTTGCACTTTCCAGGCAGATGCTTAGGCCACAGCGCTATCTCCCCAACCCTTGAACATCTTTGGAAGACCTACCTTTTCTATTTGTTGTTTTTTTTAATTTCTGTTTTTGTTTTTGTTTTTGTTTTCCATTAAAAATTACAGGCTCCAAATTTAAAACAAACAAACAAACAAACAAAGTGTACCGAATCCCAAAAAATCACAAGTTTCCTTTAGGACAGAAGTAGTTCACCTCTGTAATCCCAGCTACTGAAGAGGCTGTGGCAGAAGGATTGCTTGTTCTAGCTCAGCCTTGCCCATTGAATGAGAGACCTTTCTCAAGATGTCTCAGTTACTTTTTTCTCATTGCTGGGACAAAATACCAGCCCCCCAAAATTAAAGAAGGAAGGGTTTATTTAGCTCATAGTTATTGGAGGTTTCAGTCCATAGTAGGCTGGCTGCAAGACAGAGTGGCACATGGAAGAGGGCAGGAGCTCATCAAGGTAGAGAACAGCAGACAGCAAAAGGAAGAGCGGCAGCTGCTGCAGCTAGAAAGCTTCTCTCCATTCCTTATGTTGTATTCAGGCTATCTGCCCCAGGGTGGGTGTAGTACTCACAGCTATAATCCCAGCAGTGGATCCTGGTTTAATCAAACTTTGGAATCCTACCTCAAAGAGTGCGTGAGGCTTTAGGGGTACAACTAGATACAAACCATAACACCAGGCAGGATCTTTTGAAAAGGATTAGGCTGTAGCTCAGTGGAAGGACACTTACCTAGCATGAGAAAGCCTGGATTCAATATTCAATACCACAAAGAGGAAGAGAGAGCAAGGGAAGAGTAGAGTAGAGTAGAGAAGATCTCTGCCAATTTCTGCCACTTATCTCCACTTGTGTCTCAAGGAAGGATTACTTTTAAGATCTTAGTGTCAAAATTAAAAGGACTAGATCCGTAGCTTAGTTAGAGCACTTTGCCTAATGTGGTCAAGGCCCTGGTTCAATCTTTACTACTAAAAAAAAAAAAGATTTTGGAGTATGTTCCTACACATCTTCTCTTGATTTTTCAAAGTTTTGGTATAATTCACATACCATAAAATGTCTTTTTTTTTTTTTTTTTTT